GGCAAGGAACAACCATTATTTAGAAAATTGTCTCCTTCAGAAGTTAAAGATTATTTGGCTAATATAGCTTAATATAATAATCCATAAAAATAATCTTATATTATTTAATAAGTATAAGAAAATTAAAAATATGCACACCAATAATTATTTTTCTGATGTTAATGTTTGTTTTCCTAAAAGTCGAGAATCTTTTTCTTTACATTTTTCATCCTGATTTATATTTGTTTTATTTCTTTGATATATTATTTATTGATGTGGGAAATATTGTTATAAACAACTAAAACAATGAGCTACAAATAATATTATTGTTCATTACATTAACAAGTAGCAATGCTTCTAATTCTAATAATCTATTTTTTTTTGGGTGGGTGCTTGAATACAAAATTCTGATTGGCTAATTTGAATTTCACGCGCGTGAAATTCAAATTGACGCAGATTCCAAATTCACGCACAACAATCAGACCTTCCTCACTCAACAAAAAAATCACCTTATTGATTAAAAGCTGTTCATCTTAAAATGAGTAATTATAATGAGAGTATACAACCATGGGTTGAAAAATAGTGAGTTACATTACCTTTAATGTAAAATAAAGGATAATTGGATAAAATATAGTTAACATTTACTTTTTTCAAGTCGCCCAAAAGACATTGATAGTGTTAGCTCACAAGAACAAACTATTGCGGTTTTAAAAACAACACTCAAGTCACAAAATGTAAGAAATTTGTTTAAAAGATACATTTTATATAATTTTTTTTTAGTTTATTATATAAATTAATTGAATCTATCAATTTAAATAAATAGTTACCACATATGTTGTTTTATGGACCTCCAGGAACTGGAAAAACTTCAACAATATTAGCTTTAGCTCATGAATTGTTTGGGTAAAAAAAAAATTGTATATTTTTGAATCAAATTATACATGAATCTTTTATGTTTATTTACACAATTATGATTGGTTTATCATCAGTCCAGAATTAATGAAAAGCTGTGTTTTGGAATTGAATGCATCAGATGAACATGGAATTCAAGTTATTAGGGAAAAGGTAAAAAATTTTGCATGTGCAACAGTTAGTTGACATGTAAGGTGATTAGAATTTATTTAATGAAAGCAATTAATTTATTAGATTAAAAATTCACAGTAATGGTTTTAACATGATCTGGAAAATTTTTTTACCTACACATGGTTAATAATAAGCAAATATCCTTGTCCACCTTACAAAATCATTATACTGGATGAAGCTGATTCATTGACACATGATGCTCAAACAGCTTTAAGACACATAATGGAAAACTATTCTAGAGTCACTTGTTTCTGTTTGATTTGTAATTATGTTAGCTGGTAATTAAATTTAATATACATTCACTAATTGTTTCCCCCAAAAAAATTATTTTTCAAATATAAATATACATTATTAAAAAAATTCATTTAAAGTATAATAGAACCATTGACTTCTTGTTGTGCAAAATTTCGATTTAAACCACTGGATATTTCAAGTGCCAAAAAACAAATTGAACATATTTGTGAAAATGAAAATATTAATTATGATCCCAAGGTAATAATACTATTATTATTAAAGAAATAAATCCATACAAAGTTAATGCTTGATGAAATATTTAGGTTTAATGTTTTCCCTTTAATTACCAAATAGGCTATAGATGAGATTCTTAAGATATCTAATGGTAATTTGAGAAAATCTATAATGTTTCTTCAAAGTGCAGCCAGATTACATCAAAATGAAAGAATTACTGCTGATTCAATTTTAGAAATTGGAGGGGTAAATTAATTATTGATTTATAAATTTTAATTTTAATATTTTTTGTACTATTTGCTGAAAATTTTCAAATAGGTTGTACCAGATGATATTATTGACAAATTGATTGAGACTGCTTATATGCCTATAAATGATGAATCATTAAATTTGATAGATAATATTATGCATCAGGATTTTCTGCTGTTCAAATAATGTCACAGGTAAAAAAATAAATATATTATTAATATGTAAATTCATCTATTAAGTAAATAAATAAATTTTTTTTTGTATATTAAATTTGTGATAAAGTAGTAGTTGATGAACAACTAAACAATGATCAGAAAGCTTGTATAGGAGAGGTTTTAGGCGAAATTGATAAAGAATTATGTGATGGAGCTGATGATAATTTTCAACCAATGAAACTGCTTATAAATTTTTCTGAAATTGTAAATCAATAAAGAATTACTACAGAATATATATATTAATTAATGTATATTTGTTGATCTTTTTATTTAGAGGATAATAAAAACTTGAGAAAAATAAATTACATAATATATATCAGTAACTTGAAAAATGCAGCATAAAAATATCAAAGATTGAAGATTGAGTATCAATTTTTTTCTGTTATTATCTTCATAAGTTTTTCTGTCAATTTGAGATGAGATGACTGAATCATAAGCTGGTACCAGAGATACAGTGTAAGCTGGAATAGAAGTATATTAAATAACATAATAAGAATTTGGAGTTATTTCACTATATTTTTCATCCATCTTAAATTTTTGATAAATAAGCCCATACTGCCATATAGAAATATTTTCAAAATAAATAAATAATAAATCTATATCAATAAAACAAGATACTCATAGACAAGTAACTATAGTGAACATATCTACCTCAGATTGTTTCAGTGAGTTTCATAAATATCTTTGTCAAAATAAATGCTACAATACTGATAAAGAGAACCTTAACAAAAGTTGCCACCAATAAAAATAAACTTTAACACAGTTAACTTTATTTTATATAAAAAGGAAAATAAATTTAAACTATTTAATTATTCATTTGTTCCATTCATAATCACTCCAATGATGCCAGCAATGCAAATAAGCAAGGTTCCTAAATATATGTAGATAATGCATTATAAAATAACCTAATTTCCCTGCCAAAAGCAAAAAATGATATGCATTGAACAAATATGTTAACTAATTGGATAAATGAATCAAAAGAATGTAATTTATTCAGACTCTTAAACTCTTGCCTGTAATGCTTCTCAAAATTAACATGAAACACCAGTATTGACATCACCAGGGATGTACCAAACTTCATAGAGACTAGCTAAAAACTCATTGTCTTCTACTCAAAATCAAGATTAATAACATCATCTCCTTGAGTAGAATAATAGTATTGAATGTAAAATTAGATTTGATAGTATTGGTGATGATGGTGGTGTGAAGAAAATGGTAATATGAATTCTGTGGAATTTGTTATACATATAAATAAAAATATCATGTATGTATGTTCCTTGCACCATTGTCTCTATTCCACAAAGTCGAACAAACATTTTTACAAGCTTTGAGAGCATGGATGCATTGTGATTTTTGGAAGACACAAAGAACATATCTTAAAAAACGAATAGAATAGAGAATCAACATATTTCTGAAACCAAATCAACAAAAACATGACAGGATTGTTTTTAGGAAATTTGCAATTTTAATTATAAATAGATAAACATACTTGATTTGTATAAGCTTCATTTAAAAATGTCATGCAAC